GAGTATTGATAAAAAAGCCGAAAAATAGGGCCAGTGGTATAGCGTCAGGTTAAGAAATTCCCAGAAAACCGGGCCAAAGGTCTGGTAGGAATAAATCATAGCCTTGCCAAATAAACAAACATTCCCAGCAGTCAGTTTAACCCTACCAGACCGTTGGCCCGGTTTTCCGGGAATTTCATAACTGTGTATGCCGCTGGCAATAATTTTCGGCTATTTGCATAGTGCGTGAAATAGATGCGTCACTGACTAAAAATAACCAACCAATCGTCATTAGTCCGCTTTGTTAGACATTGCAAATGGCTTCCCCATGTGTGTGAATCAATTTTGTGTGTTTTAACGTGAAAATTTTCGGAAAATTTAGAATGAAGCGGGCGGTTGATGAACCAAGTTCTAGGCTTTTCACAGTCCAACAGGTGATCGATACTTTGGTTTATTCAGACTCTGTGATATATATATATATATATATATATATATATATAATATATATAGATATAATCTATATATATATATATATATATTCATTATCTGTGATAATTTCATAAAGAATACGTTCTTGAAGTGACACTGTCAGTGAGAGCGCGAATGATGAGGAAAATTTTGAAAATTATAAATCTTGAAATAGATCGATAGTAGGAGGAGGGGGTGTGTCCATCAAATGGCAACATCTGGTGTTTACTTTGGGAAACAAAGTTGATCCTGATGAGTGAATTCGCACACAAAGGTAGAATATTGGCGCTAGATAAAAAGTAAGCCTATTTTCTACAATGTCTCCAAGTTTCATCATATTCTAGCCACTCATTTGCATGTAACTAATATTTTTGTATATCATGTTGGTTTTTTCACGGTAATGCCCAGGAGCTCAGGTTATAGGGACAGTAAGGTTCAGGGCCTCAGGTCTGGTAGGGTTAACAGTGCAGTTGCCACGGACTGCTGTACAGGTTAAGATTTTGTTGTTGCCCTCAGTAGATAAAACACACAAACTTATCGAGGATTGAGACCTAGGTTTCCAGAATAAGAACCTAGCATTCTTAACCGCTCTACCAGCTACTCATAATATATTTTTGGCTCTTTAAAAAATAAATTTAGTAATATAATTGTAGGAATAAAAATTAAGCTACTAAATAAATTATTTAATCAGATAACATTACATAGATATTTTTCTGTGGACTTTGCAATGTCCATAGATCATTGATTAGGAAAAACTGTTTTATATAGTTTCATATGTGTTTCATGTTTGTTTTATATTTGATTTATACAGATTGTTTTCTATGTCTTGAATATTGTCTGCTTAAAGGTTATGTATGCATAGGAAAAACTATGTGGGTTGATTGCAGATCTACCATTAGGCTTGTCGTAATAATAGGAATAAACTCACAGGGAGCAAGTACAGCAGGGATCTACCAGTCTTCAGTAGAAATTATTCTCGTCGACACGCGTTTCGGCCCACGATTCCTAGACGCATTCGGAGGTGGGCCCACCTGAGTTCATGAAGCTCAGGGCTGGTTCCCTGCTGCACGGAATTACCGGATGGTGTTATACTTTCGGCCAGAGACAAGACGACTTGGTGGTTTCGAAGGAGGTACTGTGAGATAAGAAGTCGCCGCGACAGCGTAATTAAAACAGTCCGCATGCCTGGACGAAAGCGACAAGCTTACTTTGGTTTACCGGACACATGTGTGACTTTATTAGCAGTTGGCAGAGGAACACTGGCAGACAACTCGTACACGATGGACTTTCAAAGGGATGAGAAACTCCTTCCGCTAGACACCGGGACCAGCTCACCGAGGCCCGTCCCCTACGTTGTTGCGCTGACGTCCCAAAGCCAGCTCGAGGCCCTTTCGGCTGCCTCACCCAGTTTTTTTGAGTGTTTCGTTTCCGTTCATTACCGCGCACAATCCTAATTCTTTCACACCATTGTAGAGCGAAGTGGAAACGAGGCCTCTCGCTCCCACTTCGACGGCAAATACCCGCACTGTGTAAGCCTCGTTTCTCCTCAAAACGGCTGCTAAATCACTGTACTTTTCGAGCTTGTACAAGTGATTCTCCTCCATACGCGACTCAAACGGGACGTCAACTCAATCAGGATGAGTTGCCGTTTTTGCGCAGAATGGGAGAACGATGTCCCGGTCGCAGGCGGTTTTTACGGATCAACTCGGGATACCGTTCATGTCCTGGCAGATCAACCGCCAGTAACCAGTCCCTCGCAGAGTCTAGAACAGATGGAGGCGAATGCGTTTTTGTTGACCTACCGATTGGAACCTGCCCAGCCTTGAGGAAACGAATGGGGGCGATATCTGAGAACTGGCTCTGGCATTAGCCCTCATTCTAGCCTGGTCGACAACGGCTCCTAACTCCTTTAGCACCTTGTTGTGGCGCCAGGTGTATCGGCCTTGACCTAGGCTTTCCTGCACGCGGACAGGACGTGCTCAAAGTTTGCTTCGATTCGATTTGCACAACGGGCAAGTCGGATCGTTGTCCATTTAAACCATGTTAACACCGGGACGGGTAATACATCGTACGCCGAACGAATCGATAAAGCTCAGTCGCAGCGGGGTCATCCGCCAGATCTCACCCCATGTGAGTATTCTGCGCTCTCCAGGCTGACCCAATGGCCCTCTGCGACTGCTGGGCAGCTTTCTGGACCCGAACCTCGTTTTCGTTGTCCCTCACCGTTTGTATTACCATGTCTCGGCGCTCTTTGGCTGAGGGCCTTGACCACTAATTGACTTTCCCCCGTGCCCTAGGCCTCGACGGTCGGTTTGTGTGTAACCCATAATCTCCTTCAATTTTAGTGCGTTCTGAGCAGATTCTATCGCATCGAGGACTCTCCACTTGGTTCCAGTCTTTAGAGCGGGCTGGACAGCGGTGACATTTGGGTCTGAAGACTCGCGCAAGAGCATGGCGAGCCTTACCTTGCCGACTTTAAACTCTTCGGTTATCGATTTGAACGGAAGTACCAGCTTAGCCTGTTTACAATACAGAGCCACGTCGGTCAGACAAGGCGGTGCACCAATCCACTTTCTTAAGGCTGTGTTGATTTTTTTCTCCATGGCTTCAACTGCAGTCATCGTCACCTCGTAGACTGACAGTGGCCATAGGAGTTTCGGAATCAACATGAATTGGAGACACCATACCTTGAATTTTTTTTCCGACCAGCCTGCATCGCTCGATCGCGAGCAGGCCTGTAGCCAGTGACTCATGTATTCGCCGGACCTCCGCTCTATCGGATAACTTCGAATCGTAAACGCGACCGAGACTCTTCACTGGTTCCTCCCAGAACCGTGGGGATCTTGTTCCTTGCCACCGTAAAACTGGTTGCCACCACCCGACCCTTATTGATTGAGATCCTCGACTTCTGCGGTTTGAACTGCATACCGCTCCCTTGGACCACCGCGTCCAATCTTTCCAGGATCGTGCGGGCAGACTCCTCGCTGCCCGTTATAATAGGTCGTGTCATCCATAAAGGCACGTAATGGGGCATCCAGTGGTCCCAAATGTTAAAGGCCCTGTCCGTAGCCGGCCGCCCCGTCTAACATGATCTGCATTGCCCATGACAAACAGTATAGGTGAGATCGTACACCCCATAGCTATCCAATCTGCATCTCATCCACCTCGTGGTAAACGTCGAGGTAGAGAAGCGCAAAGCGAAACTTGGAGAAATATTGCTCGACCATTTGAATGATCTGTGCCGTACGTGAAACATGCGAAGGGCTCGCCACAGTAGCCTATACTGCCCCGTAGGCGTTGGCTAAGTCCAACCATATTACGTGCAATTGTGTTCTCTCATGCTTGGCTCTCTGGATAGCTTCCCAAATCATGGTCGCGTGTTCAAGGCATCCAGGAACGCCTGGAATACCACCCTTCTGAACACTCGTATCTATGTATCTTGTGTTGGTCATCAGATAACTGTGTGAGCCGGCGAGCCATGAATGGAGAAGAATATCTTACCCTCGACATTCAACAGCGAGATGGGCCTGAATTGGGAAAGACTCGTCGAGTCCTGCTCTTTGGGAATGTAGACCCCATTTGCCTTTGACCACTCAATACATTTCAACAAGGAACACATAAGGCTGTAAAGTCATCGGTCACTATAAATATTTAAGTAGAAACAGCCATAGCTGATTGTAAACTATATCATCATCATCTGGTAAGACAGAATAATGAGTTACTTGAGATAAATAGTGTGATAGCTTTCCCTTGAATTCCACATCTACATTTCTTGTAAACTAGCAACATCATCTGGTAAGACAGAATAATGAGTTACTTGAGATAAATAATGTGATAGCTTCCCCTTGAATTCCACATCTACATTTCTTGTAAACTAGCAAACTAGCATCATCATCTGGTAAGACAGAATAATAAGTTACTTGAGATAAATAATGCGCTAGCTTCCCCTTGTTTTCATTATTGTATCGTCGGGCTTAAGGCTGTCATTTCCACTACCCTTAGTTGTTGTGTCATTCTTGTCTTCCCATTCGGTGTCTGCCTCTAAAAATCAGATTAAATGTAACAGTGTTTTAGAAACAGTGTTCTTCAAAAAAAAAGAGGATATACTTTGGACATGACCATTTGGCAAAAGGCAGAGAGTCTTTCTAATCGACTGTGATAAAAGTGACTTACTTCTAAAGACCTACCCAATGAAGATTTAAAGAAAATTAATTTATAGAGAAAAGACCCTTGTCACGCATTGGGCATTTGGTTTAAGACCCATGTTTTCTTTGATTAGTCGGAACTCAGTGGTTGGTCTGTTCAGCACCAGGCCGGCTGCCTTTACTTCCTAGGGATTTTACCCTGGGTCGACCGGGAAGCCTAGGATAATTATAAAAGTCTGATGAAGTTTCAAAACCAAGACCTTAATTTATCAAAACATTGCTACAGTTTATGTCATTCTGGTTGAAAATTCAAGTTTTTCCTATACATACATAATAGAACAGCCAAGAGAGCTTTCTTTGTAATCATAGAATGTTACGTGTTGTGTACGTGTGTCCGTGTGTTCACAGACCCAGCAGTGCTGTATGACCGAACCAGCGGGCAGGAACTCGGGGAGACCACTCCACCTCTAACAAAACAACGGGCCAATACAGAATCCCACTTCCACGATTCTGGTCAGTCGGAGGCCTCAAACAAATATAGTACCCCTATACAAGGGAGGCCGCGGCCTGTCCCACCGAAGAAGAATGCTGCAGGTACAGAAACATTTGGTGGGTGAGATAGGTTTTCTCTTATGATTGAAATTAACATTAACAAATCTAGTTTCAGTTGAATTTAACAAATAATTACTCCAATTTAGGGCTTGACCAAAGGATGCTTGGCTCAGTGGGTTAATTACACATGTGTTTGGAAAGTATTATCGTTTGTCACAACTATCTGTCAGTGTATTAGTATTGTCTGTGGCATAAGGGTTTTGAACATAATTTCACAGTCCTGAAATAACAAGATTCAGCGCCAGCTACCTTAAGTTTAGTTGCAAACCAATTTGCATTAATTTGTCCAACGGTTTTAACGTCATTCCCATTCAGAACAGTTTTACTCAACATACAATTTCCTAATAAAGCCACACAGCTGCCAGTTTTTAAAAAAATGCTGTTGTTGGTGATGCCATGCAGCTTATTTTATGTAGTAGTATTTACTTTGTGCTATCTGTTTCTTGGTGCTAAATGTTGTAATTTTGCAATATTGTGATCAGTATTTTGATGTCCGCATGGCAGATCGATTTTCTTATCACTTGTTGTTCAATGTGTACATGTTGTTTAATAAATTATGTCAGTGTCCTTTTGTTGAAATAATATTTTAGCTATTATTTGAAAAAAAAAACCAGTAAGATTAGGCGTTGCGAACACATTTTTTTATAGTGTCAGGAGACCCAGTTCTATTCCAGCTGCAGGTGATTTGGGAGCAGACCACCTTGCAATGATATTGTAAAAAACATTTTACCTAAGCTGGAGGAGCCACTAGCAGGGTATTTAAAACATTGCGATATCATACAGGAAGCCCAGGTTCAAATCCTAGGTAAGATGAGGGAAGTTTTCGTATGAGGGGGGAAAATAGCCATGCAGCGCTAAATCGTCAAGCTCAAGGGACCTCCCTCCTCCCCTTTTCCATCATTCTTCTTGCTGGTACCTTTCCATGTTTCTAGATAATCGTCATATTGTGTTTTGGGGGAGGCATAGAAATAAATTTTTTCTCTCCATAGCACAAAGTCTGCACAGTATTGTAGAGACAGTGTGTCGCCCATGCAGCATGACCACTCTCTTGGCCTGCCTTGTTTACTCCTGTCCTACACCGCTTTATAAAGTACTATAGGCAGTAAAGGCAGTTTTTCTATAGGTTGACAGTCTTGGAAGGATGCAAGGAATATCTCTGAGAAGTAAAGAGAGGCTTGATATTGGTGACGTCCATTGAATGCTAGTTGGTCTGTAATAATCTGGAGCTGACACATTAGGTCAAAACCTCTGGGACAGGATGACAGCAACCATTGTTGTATTTTATAATTGCCACTAAATATGCTTGAGGGTGGAATTTCATCCATTATGTATAGCTAGTATGGGCAAAAAAAGTAACTTTGGAAGGTCATTTTTGTCCCCTCAAGATTTGCACTTGTGCTTACAGAGTTTTATGCATCTGAGCTGAAACCATCTTGAATAATTGTTCAACTGTGAGAATTGGTGCTATCAGTCGCTGCACACTGAGGGATTAGATCCGATAAGAATATGGACATGTGCAGTGAAGATAATCAGTTGATTAACTAACTTACAATATGCCGTGTACATCTCAAGGCATGTGAAAGAGTTTGCTCATTTTAATTGATAATGATAGAGGTGAACTGATAAAGAAGTGAGTAGGGAAGAGTAAATAGGGCAGGCCGTTTGATTTGTTTTCTGAAAACAGGCTTATCCTCATTCACTGTTTGAATTGTCTTTCTGAAAACAGGTTTATCAGCATTGACTGTTTGAATTGTCTTTCTGAACACAGGTTTATCAGCATTGACTGTTTGACTTGTCTTTCTGAACACAGGGTTAACAGCATTGACTGTTTGACTTGTCTTTCTGAACACAGGGTTATCATCATTCACTGTTTGAATTGTCTTTCTGAACACAGGGTTATAAGCATTGACTGTTTGACTTGTCTTTCTGAACACAGGTTTATGATCATTTGCTGTTTGACCTGTGTTTCTGTTACAGGTTTATCAACATTCACTGTTTGACATCTTTCTGAACACAGGTTTATGATCATTCACTGTTTGACTTATCATTCTGAACACAGGTTTATAATCATTCACTGTTTGACCTTTCTTTCTGAACACAGGTTTATCATAATTCATTGTTTGACTTGTCTTTCTGAACACAGGTTTATGATCATTCACTGTTTGACTTATCATTCTGAACACAGGTTTATCATCATTCACTGGTTGACCTTTCTTTCTGAATACAGATTTATCATTCACTGTTTTTCTTTTTGAACACAGGTTTGTCAATACTGACTGATCTCTTCCTGAAAATTAGCATATCAAACATTAACTGTTGATCTGCTTCTTAAAAACAGGTTTTTCAGCATGAACTGTTTCTTCTTCTTTGCATTCATCGGCTGTAAACTGTGATGGAAAGGTCTGAGTGGTGTGTGCACATCCATTTTACAGATGGGACTTATTTGTTTGCAGACTGTTAGTTCCTTGCCTCTCAGGCAGATGCACTCCGACTTCAAAGGAAGCCTCCAGTTAGTCAGCTCTTACGACGTGCTTGTTAGGGAGGCAGTGGGTGAGTTCTTGTTTGTCCCACAACCTATTCAGGGAAACAGGAACTGTTTGGCCTTTCTTTCAAAAAACAAGTTTATCAGTATTGTTTGTTTGATCTATCTTCTTTAAAACTGTTTCCCAAAGTCTCTGCCCTGTGTGTTGTTAGTAGTCATGTCTATCCACAACCTTCTGTCTTGTGTACTTCCAGTCAACTCTGACCCAGATGATTCTCCCATGCCATTATCTTTAAAACAGACTAATCAGCATTAATTGTTTCTTTTTCTGCTGTGCACAACCATTAACTGTTAGCATCTGTCTTTCTGAAAACAGGATGGTTAACAATACTTAATTTTTCTTCCAAGTTTAGTGTGCCAGTTAACTTTATTAATGACAGCTATTTGTTAACATTAACTGTCTCACCTTTTCACCTGAAACAGGCTTATTTTTATTAAACAATTTCTTCTACTTCCTCTGTGTTCACTCACAAGATGGCAGTTGGCAGTTTTTCTTTTTAAAATATTCCCCCCCCCCTAGGTCAGGAACTCATTCAGGAATTTGAGCTGTTGATCTTCAGTGTTTGCGCCAGACATTTGCTGAACAGATTAAATGTTTCTTTTCTGAAAGCATTTGTATCGAGATTAGCTATTTGTCTTCCATATTTAGTGCCAGCGGTTATAAGAGGACAGCTTCAGCCACCCCCTGGCTCCAGCCTGGACGGGTCTAGTGCAGGCGGAGCCACAGAACGACCAAATGATATTAGTGGAGGTCAGTTTCAAAGTCATGCACCTCCAACTCCACCGCCCAGGCCACCTCATGGGAGAAGCATGTCTGTGGATGTGAAATCAAGTGAGTTGAAGCTTGTTTGTACTGAAGTCTTAGCTTCCTTACACACACACAAACAGATATATGCTTGTGTCATCAAAGTTTTGAATTGATGGTATATATAACCCTTTTGCCTTGAGAAGCTGCATGTAATGTTGTGAATTCCCGGGGAAATCCCAGAGTGTTCCCGAGGGGAAGGACATGGTCAGAGGACCAGTGATACAAGAGAAAAACAAGATAAGTGGGTCTCGAGTATCCCGTGGTGAGCGAATAAGGGATACAAGAAAAGCGTGTGACTGGAAGGGAAGACATGAACTGAGAGATGGTAGTAAGACAGTTGAAGTTTGGACCTGGTTGCGAGAGGTCGTATGTGAGAGAACACCTGATTAGAATGGAGAACTTGTGACAGCGTATAACTGTTAGAGGGAAGACTTGAATGTTTCCTGCTTGCCAATTTCAAGATGTACTAATACCAGGTACAAGGCTTTAGTATGATATGGATGTGTGATTCGAGAGATACGGATGGAGCAAAGCTGTGTGCGAGAGAGTTGGCCAGGTCGTCAGAAATCAGCCATGCATAAAGACCACGAGGACGAAAGAATGCGCTGTCAGTGAGATGTTTGATTCAGCGAATAAAGGTCTATAACTGAACATTCGTTTCTGGTGTGTCTCAGCAACTAAGTGTTCGTGAATACAGCAATGTGGCGTGTAGAAACAAACCCCTAGCAGAGCACATTGCACTGCAGAATGGACACTTCCAATTGGGTCTTATTCCTCATAAATGTCATTTTTCCTACTTGTCTGTAGTGGCCTTTTTTTTTTGAGGTGCATATTTTTGATGCTGTTGGCTGTTTTTGCGACAGTGCAAACAGTTAGGTTAGGGATATAAATACATTAACTAAAAATACATTGGGGGGGGGGGGAATATTTTGAGACCAAATAGCTTTTTTAAAGCTAGGTTGACATAACATTTTCCCATAAGCCTCAGTAATAGAGGTCACGACATGTATGTTTTTTTGGGGGTCATTGGGAATGTGTTTCATTTAATATTCACCTGATTCATGTTTTTTTATTACTCCTTTCATATATCTTTATGGGGAGGGGGGCGTTAGATAAATACTTTTTTTTTGCGCGAATTTATTAGTGACCTGTGTAACATTTTTGTTTTTGTAAGAATTGGTTTTTTTCTGCAGTTCAGATGGGGTCATGACCCATTTTTCTCCAGCAATAGGGTTAAAAGCTGTCAGCATCTCTGGCTTAGAGATTATGTATGCAATTTTATAATCTCATCATATGAGCATTTGAAATCAGCAGAAGGCAGTTTGGCAACAGACTACTTTGCGAGGACAGCTGAATGAGTTTTGAACCATTGAGGAAGTTGTGGCAAACTGTTTAACATAAAGTTGCCTGGCAAAAAAAAAAAAAACACAAACCATCAAATGTTGTTTATGTCATAAGATGTGTTGTTGCTGGAAGAAATTTTTGGGCCACATTAAAAGACATAACACTCTTTTGAAAACCATACTGGAGGGAAAAGTTGAAGAGAAAAGAGCAAGAGGTAGACAGGGATAAAAGTGAAAAGACAACATCAAGAGATGAATGAGCAGCAGTCTGAGAGAGACTATTGCCAAGACCAGAGACAGAGAGAGTTAATATATTGTAGCGGTCTTCATTGAGATGATGGAACCTGATTTATTGATTGATGTGGAGAAGCATCATTGCCTATGTTAGACACTTTCATTAAAGTTCTTCAGGGAAATTACCTGAGTTGAGTTAAAAACTTAGAACATCCTGGATAAGTGCTGCATCCTCATCTTCAGCAGCCAGCAAAAAATTCTGGTGCTGGTTGTATCAGTAGCAGTCTGAGTCTTCCTTCGAGTGTATAGGGTCAGCCATATATCCTTGGTCACTTCCTGCACCAGTCTCTTCACGCTGTAGTGATCTCTTCACACTTCCACATTGTTCACTTGCTCCCATAAAACCTTGACTACATCTACATTATCATGCATACATTTATCACCCGGTGGTACAGAAGCAGTCAGTCTGCCTGTTTCCCAAAACACCTGCCTGCTGAAGAAAAAAGACCAAAAGGACGTTAACTGCTGAAGACCCCTGAGGCGATACTAGCACAGAGCATGCCTATATACGCCTTTCTTGTAAACTACTTTCTGATACAGAAAAGGTGCCCCCTTTGGGAGACTGCCTTTTGGGTGTCATGTAATAAGAGTTCACATATAATAGGTCATACATTACTAGTTGGAGTGAAAATTGTTCCATCTTAATCATAAACATCAGAATGAAGTAACTTGACTGATGGCTTAATGATCATTTTGCATGAAGTCTCTTCAGAAATTAATTACATTTTGGAGCTTACATTTCTGGAGAAATAATTGCCTAGATTACCTCTCTGAAAATTAACCAAATTGTCTAGATTACCTCTGTAAAGTAACCAAATTATCTAGATTACCTCTCTGAAGACCAAACTGCATTTGATACATAAAGTCAAGACCCTTTTGGAACAAGCAACGGAATCAGTAGAAAAACAAGATTATTACGGTCTGGAGAGAATGAGGCACCTAGGTGTAACCAGAGAGTCTGGCCAGATCACTACACTCAGAGGAAAGGCAAGACAGACATATAACCAGATTCTGACCGGTAACATCAGTATTGGAACTCTGCACTGGCTGCTGAAGATTAGGACAGAGCACCCATGGAAATGCCCCCAGTACTGTGATGTCTATTCTAGACATAACTCAATTCAAACTCCAATAATTGTCATTTATCTGTTCCTAGAAACAGAACCTTATATCTCCCTCGACACCCACAGCGGTAAAAGAGGAAGTGAAGAAGAAGAAGATCTCTTCCTAAGTGGGAGGACAAATATTAAAAAGAACTAATACCAAATGAGTTTTCCTTAAAGGAATTAACTAAAAAGGGTTTAACCCATTCCTAGCTTCTAATTTTACCTATATATTCTTTAACAAAAACAAGATTTCACTAGAAAATCGATCTCATTAGTCATTGTAAATGTTTTAATTACATATTAACCACTGTACTTATCATTGCTTTATCATTGTGATAGACATTTACTCGTCCTGATGATGTAAATATACTGTTAAAAAAAAAGTAAAGATCCCTTTTCATGCCTTTCGGCGCATCAGGCATATGGGCAGAGCGTCCCATATTTTTACAGACCATCAGCACTCTGTGGGTAATGTGGTCAGCATTACGCCGGCTGTCTTTATTTTCGTTGGCCACATCGGAAGTAGGAAAAATACTGACTTATCGGGCGAATGTCAAACAAAAATTTCTACAAAAAAAAACAGGACCAATTTTGTAAAAGAATAAGCTTGGCGTGTTCAAATATAGGAGTTCCACTGTAATTGGCCGAATGTCACTATAATGAACGTTTTATCTCTTCTAAAATATCTTGTAGTATATAACACTGCAACTGTTGCTGTAATCGGATGTCCGTTTTTTTGGGTTTTTTTGCAGGAACAATAAACCTCATCAACAGCCATTTAAAGACAAAGAGAAGACATAATATAAATCATTTTTAGTCTTATATAAAAATGAAGAAAGGATACTATTTCCATTTATTTCAGCATATTGTGAAGTGGTGCTTCTCCCATATTTCTTATAGACGGATCAGCACTCATTGAGCGACATGACCCATATGACACCATCTTTACTTCCCAAGACATTTTCTGGTACTTATTTGGACTGAGTTCACCTGGGAAGCTTTGACAGGTGGCCTCAATACCAAGATGGGATTGGACAGCTCAAGTTATGAAGAAATCAAGGGAAAATTGTGATTGAATGCTTGCAGGCACCGGTGTGTCCAGTGTGTGTATTTTTGTGTGTTTATATTTTTTATTTTTTTCTCCCCACAAATTAGGCTCACAGCTCATTGCGCCAGCTGTTCCTCCTCGAGTATCCCCAAAAGAGGTCAGTATCTATTTGTGAGTATGTACAGATATAAATGTGCAAGTTATAAATATGTGTACATGTGTACTCACACACACATGTACACATATTTATGGATTAATGTATTGTAAAAGTATGTAGGAAAGTATTTGGATGCACATATGAATGTATAATTGATTGAAATGTGTATTTGCACAGATTATTGGAGCCAGCTGAATAATAACCATATTAGTTTTTGTGACTGTCAGTCGTAGAGAATATGGCTTTCCACCGTCTCACCACTTCCTTCTCCCCTTCTCCTCTTTTTCTTCTCCTTTTTCTTCCTCCTCCTACTATTTGAACATCTTTCTTCTTTTTCTTCTTTCTCCTTGTTTTCTTAAGATCTTTCTTCTTCTTTTTCTTCCTCATCTTCAACTTCCTTTTCATTTTCTTTTTTTTTTCTTCTTCTTCTTCTTTTTCTTCTTCTTCTTCTTCTTTTTTCTTCTTCTCCTCCTCCTCCTTCTTCTTCATCTTCTTCTTCTTCTTCTTCTTCCCCTCTTCTTCTCTTGTCTTCTTTTGATCTTTCTTCTTCCTCCTCCTCCTCATCTTCAACTTTCTTCTTTCTTTTCTTCGACATCATCCTCCTCCATCTTCATCTTCTTTTTCTGCTTTTACGGTAGCTGTTCCTATTTGACACCAAAGCTAAACACTTACAGAATTTCCAAATACCTGGGAAATGCAGTTTAATGTGTCAGAGTGTAAACCTCTTCCAAAATGCTTGAAGAGATCTGTATATAATAAAGCTTTGCAGTCAGCTGGTGGTTTTATACTTTCTTGATAAGCAGCATGAGAGTATAATTTAACATACCTCTCTGTTTCCAAGCTAAACTACTACACGTTTTATCTGCATGTTTCCTCATCATCATCATCATCTTCAAAGTCTCCTAACACTGCTTGTCATTGGGTCGCCAGTGACTGTTGACTGCCTAATCGTTTCCTTCACTTCTGACGGTCAGAGGTAGTGGACTTAATGATTTGCATTTATAGTGTTTAACGTTTAATAAGTCATTAAGACATCACTGCACTCGGGACATTGCCATAAGCAACTGTGTTTTAGTCATTTTTTTTCTGTTTCAAAATCCAACTATCGCAAGGTGTGTTTTATTTTTCCTTTGATGATTGTTTCTGTGAAAATCTTCTTTGTTTTTCAGACACAGGCAGCACCTGCCATACCTCCCAGTGACTTGCTGCCAGGTGAGTTTTTTATTTTTTGTTTTACTGGTGTCTAGTCTTGTTAGATTTAGGGGTCTTCCTGGCGAAGTGGTCAAGCCATTTGCCTCACGCTCTGAAGGTTGTAGGTTTGTTTCACAACTGCATTATTCGGTTGACAACTGCAGCTTTTACTGAGACTCCTGGGGATCATCACTAGAGCTACGGTGCTTTGTGCTTTATGTAGCGCTCTCGGCAAGTAGCTAGCTGTTCTGCAGAGAGAGACCAAGCCATAGGGGATAAAACCCTGTACCATAAAATCGATCCTGTCGGCTTTAACCTTTTTTTTTTAGTTCTTATGCTTAGCTTTAGGGGCCCCTTCAAGAGTCTGTTCTGTAAAAAAGTACGAACTTAGCAGCTTGTCAGTGATTAATTGATAGACCATTCAGTTTGTCCCCTCCGGGATGCTATCTAAAAGTTTACCATACCATCCTGAGATTTTAAAAATCTTATTCTGTATGGCAAGCTAACAAGGCAGATCCTAGATACTCTGTTCAACCTCCATTAAAGTTATAATTGAACTTTATGGGTCGATGAGTAAATTATAACAGACAGTAAAGTTATGGAGACAGCATTGCAGATATAGATAATCTGTTTCAAGTGAACGAAAGAAGAAGAAGAATAATTAAGGGCAGCTATAACGGCGGCGACAGCCAGGTGTAACCTGCAGTCCTATGCAGGTCAGGAGAAACTTGCCTGTGGTTAGAGGACCCCCTTAAAGATTAGTAGGAGTAAGTAAAGGACCATTGTTGCATCAGGCATTTAATGTCTTACACATATTTTTATAGAGTAATTAAACATTGATTGAGTGATGTGGTCAGTATTACAGCAACCATCATTTAAAAAAAAAAGTCTGACTCCATTTGGATTTGAATCTATGACTTTCAGATCCACTGTTGAGCATCTAGCTGCTACACCATGGTGGCTTTCCAACCTGGAAACCTTAGGTCAATTATAAAAATGCTCTTTGATGTGAATTAGAACCCAAGCATCCCTTGACTGATTACGGATTTGATGAAAGCTGATGTGAGGCTGAATATTGCTATCACAGCCTGGTTGTAAATCACAACACAACATACTGGCTGTAAATCACAACACAACATACTGGCTGTAAATTACAACACAACATACTAACCACCATATAAAGGACAAAACACAGCAGAAGAAGAGCCTAAGACTTTGGACCAGCAGAGCAATGGTCTATCCACCATACTATGACTTCCCTTTAAGCATTCTTCTTCTTCCTAAGGTTCACCATGTGTAAACTCCAGCAGAAAGTTCTGGTTGTTTGTCCACTTCTAGACTTTGGTCTTCTTCCAGAACTTAAGTTCTGCATGCACATCCACTTTACAGATCTGGCTTATTTCTATGAAAACTTTTGATTTCTTGCTTCTCAGTGAGATGCATTATGGCCTCAAAGAAAACATCCCTGGTTGGTTGACTTTTAGGACATGCTTGTTAGAGAGGCAGTGGATCTAATCTTCTTTCACCACCCTCCAACAGTACGGCCCCAGAGCCCACAGGAAGACTAAGCATTCAACAGCATGCCAAAAAATATTAGTGGTAGTCATTGAGGTTTCAGCTTCACTGCAGACTGGTTACCCCATAATTTCTCAGATAATACGTCAATGAAAATCACACAAAACTCTTCCCACTGTCCCATTGGAAGAATAATGGGCAAACAATTAGTCCCTGCAAAGTCCTGCAACGTGCACACTCCATTATAATGCATAAATCAGCTGGTTAAATTACCAGAACCAACAGTCGACCAGAATTGCAGTTGTTATTGATGGATGCAGTCAGTTACGATAAGCTGGCCATACATACAGTTTAATTGCACAAGCTCATTTCATTTGCCCAGATGCAAACCGGATACCTGACATTTTCTGAATATCACGGCTACAGGCACAGACAGCATTTCACACAAAATACACAGGTCACAGTACTGCAGCAAGCATTGAACTCAGTAGCTTAGGCAGCGAAACCATACTCCCTAGTCTGTTTGTGGAAACTGCATTATGACGCCACTGCCAGAAACAAAAATATATTTGAGGCGAAACAGACTGCCTAGCCTATCCCTCATATTGGACCCTTAATAACATGCCATGGACCAAACTGATATGCTGAATGCTCTACAAGAAGTGAGATGTCTGCAAGAACCAAGTGATGACTGTGAATCTGCAACTACGACCAGACTGCAAGAACAGTATGTTAAAGGAATGTGGCCAGGACTGGTGTCGTCAGCCGCTACACGCTGCGGTATTTACTGAGGAGGGGATCTAAGCACTAATATAGTAGGGATAATCTGTCGACTAACTAACTAACGGTAATAATTTTATAGAAAAAAAACCACATCTGTATTAATGTACAACCTTTGATGAACACAAGAAATATTGACTCTTACTGTTACACAGAGGTGAACCAAACATTACCTGCTGCTACAGTGGACAGAGACCTGGCTGATGATGATGATGTTTCCGAGAAGCCTCACTCAAAGCCTGCCTTGGCAGTCAGGTGGGCGCTGTAGACTATTTTATTGCTTTTTTCCTTGTTTGGCTGCGTTCTGTGTGTTCATGTAGAAGTTAAGAAGAACTCTTCTGCAAGCCCTTGAAAGAACACTATATTTACTTCCTGTAGTACATTTTTTGTTCAAAAGTGAAAAGGGTGGTTGGGGGGGGGGGGGGGGGGGGGGTCCTTGTGCTTAGTGTTGCATGGCTGATAACAGTCGCCATGGACTGCAGGCTAGGATAGCTTTTTGGGGACTAAACAGGAACAGTTCCCTGTAATAACATGCGCATGTGAATCACGGGGACTATCTCCCAGTCCTTTAAAAAAAGGGGGGGGGGGGGCTTTTAAGCTGAAATGCTATAGAAAGACAAAGAAGAGAAGAAATACTGACATTTTAAAAGATGTGAGCATCAGGAACTTTAATGTGAGAACCCCAGCGTTCAACCATTTGACCAGTTCTCCTGTGCAAGCACCTGAAACCTTTTGAAAATATAGTTTGCTGCTTCCTTAGATGCTCTGTCTTGGACAGATGTGAGTGATCATGACTCTCAAACCCACTCATGTCATTTGATATTTTGTTGGCCCGGCTCGCTAGCGTAGTTGGCTAAACCGGATTGCGAGGTGACCGGGTGACAAACTCCTTGTGGTCCAGGTTTACGCCCGGGTGTAGGCAGAAAAGCCACATTTCTCCAAGATTTACTGTATTTATCATGGAATCAAGGCCGAAGGGTTGCGATATCTATAGTACCGAGCCTAAGGGTTAACATCTCATGGCTTCTGGATACTAAAAAAATATTTTTTTTTTGAAGTTGATGTTGCTTTATATTATTTTGTTAGTTTGTTGAGATTTCTATTCTTCTTCCACCGGCTGCAAACTCTGGTGGAAAGTTTTGGTTTTTATCCACTTCTCCACTCTGGTCAGAAGTTTTATACATATAGGTTTTACAGATCTGGTTTTATCTGTATGCAGGCTGTTGGTTCTTGCCTCTCAGGCAGATGCACTTTGAAGGAAACACCTGATTAGTCGCCTTATACAATGCGCTTGTTGGGGGCAGTGGAACTATTATTGTTTGCCCAGCATGAGAACCCGGAACCAACATTAGGAAATATTGGTGTTCTAAGAGTCCATTCTTTTTAGTGGGCATATTTTTTCTAGGTAACCATTGATTTATCTCTGTCCTGCAGACAAGGCAGCCGGGACCGGAGAGACATCCAGATTGCTGTTCGAACCCACAGAGAACGGAATACAATGCTGACTCGGCTGAATAG